TAACTAACCATAATTAGCTGAGCATAAATACATGACTGGAGTGAAAGATAAATAACCCCGATCCAAAGCTAATAAATCAACCGATCCCAAAATAGCCTATTAATTATGTATGTAGTGATGTCATAGATTCAAATTGCGAATATGCATCTAGTCACTGTGAGGGCGCATTCGCTACACGCTATTTCGAGCTGTGTTCCCGGGACCGTGGTTTGTAGCCCAGCTGGGGCGAATCTCGCTTGTGTATTTATATAATGTATTCTATTTTTGTCAAAGCTTGTCAAAGTTTCAGACAAAGTGGTATATATTCTTTGTGCCAAACACTTCGTTGCTATTTTGTAATTCACATATAGTACTGTTATCGGACAAATCTCCGCTAACCCCATCACATCTTTGGATGGATATATAAATTTTAGGTTTGTTTTAATATCAAACGCTCGGATTAAGTTCAACACCGGCCAAATCTAATTCAGTGTACCTGCTGCATGACGCAGTGATTAAAGGGTGGTGGTCGTCGCGCCGCGCATGTGCGACTTCTTTGTTGACAAACATTGATTTTCCCACAATCCAATGTGCTTTTCTAATGGAAATCGCGAGAACGGGTTTGATCTAGACGCAAAGTGCACTCACTAATTACCACGGGTGACTCCTTTGATACCTTCCAATCACTAAAGTAATTACATAAATAAAGCTTAGTGGCATCTCGGTTTGTAGTCGTTGGTCTGCAAAACAATCAAAGCCGCCATCTTTGTGCTTATGAGTCCCATATCTTGCACATACCGCCCTTTAATGAAGATTTTCTGTCTTTATTATGTCGTTCGCCGTGCACGCGAATGTAGTAGGAATCAATGGAATTTGCTGCCAGTAGCCCAGGACCCCAGTCTTATCAGACAGACACGATGCGAAAATGGATATCGCATTTAGGCAATAGGGAATAAGCCGGTTGAGGTACTGTATACCGTAGCTCATTCCGGGACATAGGTTACGTAATCATGTGTCAGAAAGCTTCAAGGTTATAAATGAGTGCTGTTTTACCAAGAAATATTATTCGATTTGCCTTGATAATGATGATAAAAGGTAAATGGATTCCATAACATATACTTTCTGTATAGCGCATTGAGGTACTAGTATATTATTTTGCCCTTGTCCATCTGGGAATAGACTGTTGAATAAAATCAACGAACTGGTCAACATGTGAGCATGAGCGATCCAAGAAGGGGTACTGTTTAGTACTATTTTGCATTATTACTGGTAGTATTAACAGGCAGTGAATTCCCTACCAATCTTACCTCTTCACGCTTGCTTATTGAGTTGACTACTAGGCCAGTAACCAAATATCTATAAAAAAGTCACTGCTTCGTTAAAAAGAAGATAGTTTAAAAACTAAAAAATCAGCAGTTAAGTACGAAGACCTACACAGATAAGCTGGTAGGCTGGTTGCCGCTCCGCTTCGCTATAAACAAAAAATAAACAGCATTCTTTCAGGTGTTGCCACGGTAAGATATGAACGGTTGACGTCGGTTTATAATTAAAACCGGAGTCCCATATACGAAGTTTGCAACGAGCATCCAAGTCTTCTATGAGATGGGATCAGTGCCAACATTATTTGGTTATTTCCTTTTTTAAGCGTTTTCTTTTCTGTATATTATCATTAAGTTGACATTTTTATATTGTCTTATATACAAAGACAAGAAGTCAAAAATATCACTTTTTACCAAAAATATTCATCAAAATTAGAGAATTGATATGAACAAAAAGAGGTGCACCTGAGGTACCTATAATAATTATTTCATTTATTACACCATAATGAAAGTTGACAAATTTTAGGCTGTTATGTAATAAATTTAAAAAACAGTAACAAAAATAAAGATTAAAGAAAATCAAGATAAATGCAGTTTAATATGGCAAATTAGCCTGAGATAGTGTGGTGATATACAATTATGTATGATAAGTACATGTCTATGTGTCATGTTTCTTGAAACAAAGTTTTAAGTAATTAGTCACATGCTTGATTAATTTATGTTGTTTTGTATTACCGGTAATAATAGTTTTGAATGTATCGGTACATTTGTAAACTCTGTATAGAGTACCGGTATTTCTTTTTCAGTATTATAAAAATCACATCCTGTTACAAAATGTATTTCATCTTCAATTTCTGATGAAGTGCATATTTAACAGATTCTTTTTTTCTGCTGGTATTTTGGGCCTTTTATATCTGCCAACTTCAATTTGAAGTTTATGGCAGCTCAATCTCAAGTGTGACATTACTTTGATGTCTTCTCTATTATGTAATAAATGTAGATAAAGTGACGTACTGATATCATTTTTAAGGAGGCTGTAGGTTCTGAGCTTAGAATATCTGTTCTATTAATATCACTAATCCATGAATCTGTGTAGTGGTTCTTAGTTTTCTCTAAGAATGACTTTTTTGATATGGTAATAGGGTTTATATTGTAAATGTCCCTAATGTTGTGTATGCCTTCAATCCATGAGTCTTTATAACAATGTTGTTCAAGTTCCCTAACTGCAAGGTATGTGTAACTGATGGGACCATTGTTCCTAATACTTTGGTAATATTTAACAGATTGTAGCTGTATTATATGTATAATTGGACTTGTGGTTTTTAACAAGGAGTCGAAAATATCACTTTTTACCAAAATTATTCATCAAAATTAGAGAATTCAGGATACTAAAAATCCTTTTTTTTCGCTGTTGCCATGGCGGTCCAGTAATTTTCCAAGATTTTACCACTTAACGAACGTGAAAGTGTGACCTGCCCAGCGGAGCATTTTTAGTATTTAGGCAGTGTATATATTTTTTATCTCACGGAGGAACTAATATTATGAGCATATTTACTCTAGATGTAACATAAGACAAAAAATGAAATGTCCAAAAGTTGCAAAGAATAGAATAGTTATAAATCATTAATCTCAAATAACAACTCACAGAACAAATCAATGTTTTAATGTAAAACTGAATACAATAGTTCCAGACAGAGAAAAACAAAAGAAGAATCTACAATTTCACAGTTTTCTGAATTCCTCAATCTGGAATTAAAATGTCTACAGGAAAAGTGACGAAGACAATCTGAGAGGCACTTTGTTAGAATATAATTTTATTTAAAACAAAAGAAAAAACTTCAAAGAAGAATCCACGAAAGCAAATTAGTTTTCACAAAATGATGAAGTTTGTAAATTACAAAGTATCACCCCCCCCGTAGTACATGTACATCTGTTATGAAGTCCCATGAGTGATAACTAAGATAAAAACATAGTGTAACTATCACAACCTTGTCCACTAGGAATCGAGAATAAATGAATGGGTCAATACAAATCAATGATGCACAATTTTTCTTTGCGTGGCAACAGTTTGTATAAAAGTCAGGAAAAAATACAATAATATACCTAAAAAAAGTTCCCAAATAATAGTGCAGTAATATATAATCGCAAAATAAAATACTAGACAGATTTGAAAAAGGCAGGACAACTACACTGTACTTATTTGATTTATACTCATAATGAAAACAACTCATCATAATATTACACTTATTTCATTGACAGATCTTGTATTCGCATATTAACAAATTTGCATATCATTATCAGCAGTATACACGTCTTCACCCTGTCAACTTATTTCTGAGCATTTACCAAATTTGTCATAATATCTTAAAAATTACTCATCCTAGTTACACTCAAATTGAACTTGGTTGACATTCCTTGGTAATTGATAAGATTCCCAAATTAGAAGAAAAAACATTCTCATCAACGACAACGAGGACGAGGACAAACATTATCCCCTCATATACTTTGATAAATCTTCATTTATGAGGATACCGACAAGGTAACAAGAATTAAAGAAATCTTACAAAGAACTCCCGTGTGCTGAGGGTATTGGGGGCCTATGGAATAAAAATAGGGAATATTTAAAACATAATTCAAAAATAACTTATGTACCATATGTAAGTTACATAAAATATTGAAACTGAAAAAGGAGTTAACACCATTATTGCTTTTATATTATACAATCAATGTTAAAAATCAATGATACTTCATCTTAACAAAGAAAATGAACAAAATAATTAAACAATCATTCAACAACATTAACAAATATATCAAGGTGAAGTTTGTATTTGCAAAAAGATAAATTTATGAATAAATTGAGTTTGCATTTGTTTTACATAATTTGGCATTAATCAGCACTGAATATGCAAATGAGTGGCTTTCTAATAATCCAATAAATGCAATGTTCCCAAGAAAAGTTTATTGCTAAAACTATTCTACTGCCACTTTACCATAGCTAAGCATGTACATGCCAGAAATATCAATCATATTTGTTTTAATCATGGAGGTATAAGTGTTTATACCTCCATGTTTTAATGAATTAATTCTGTACTGTCCATACGGTTATTACATTGAATTCGATTTGATTATATGCAAATTATGTAATTAATTTGAAGGTATTGTATAATATTTTGTAAATAAAAAAATTATTGTGATTGGAGTTTTTTATGTGATGTGACTGTAATACACACAACATAGTATTAGTATTTATTAAGGATCTTACTGCCCAGGAATTGCCAGAGACTGTCCGAACGCCTGAGGTGGAATGCGACTGTTCTGGCAATTTTTCTTGCGTTTGACATCTTTAACAATGGCTATTCCCACTTTCGTAACCCATAATTAATTCTTCAATGAGGTGACGCCAAGACATGTTTTCATCCCTGATTAACACTTGTTAAAAGGCTCAAAGTACTACTGTAAATGTATTAATTATTCACAGATTTTTAACATGTGCCATTACTACAGAACTCATAAGTAAATTCAAGAATTTATAGTCTGCACTTTTACTCAGAAGATTGGGACATAGCCAAATCTTTTGGGTAAAAACTTAAAATGGACTCAAATTTTGTCTGTGGGCTCCAAAATTAGGGTTCATTTCCATATATATTTAGGAATATAAGAAAAAAGTGCAGAAAAATTTGGAAAGAAAGTCTGGTGGTGAAAAGGTTGTAAGCCAATTATTATATAAACAACAAAGTGATGCATGTTTATTCATAGATTAACAATTTTCTTCTTCTTTTTTTTTTAATTATTCTTGGTGCTCACCTGACAGTGGCATAAAAATTGTGATGGAATCACAAGACAAATCATATTAATAGCGAGGTATAGCCCACTTTTATAGTCATTAACGGTAGTTAATAGCCCCGGGTGTCCAAATATTGATGTAACACAGTAAACAACTGTGTATTTTGACTCTGACAGACGCATTCCATCCCGGCCATCCTCGATCAGTCCCCAGGAATAATTAGTAGGACCCTATTGCTTGAAATGAGAGCCCATCTTGGATCATTGCAATTGACATGAGATTCTATGGCAGATATGACTGCAATGCTGTAAACATGGTCATCAGTATTTATGCAGTCCAAATGCAGCTCGATATGAAAGTCCATCTCCAAGGGTAGCAAGCTGAAACATAAAAAGATAATATTTTGGGTATAAGTAACAGTAATAGGAACCAATAAAGCAGTCATAATGTGGATGAACTAATGTTTATTAGAGGATAGGAAATAAAAATCAATATTTTAGGAAAGTCCATGAACCATGATTTTGTCATCTTACTGTACATCAGTCTCCTCCACAAATACCGTAAAATATTTTATTTTTACTTGGAATTAATTCTCAGTGAAAATAAAATCCAGTGAATATAGCTTTTTTCTTATATTTTACATTCAACTTGTCAATAATCAGTGAA